TTTATCCGAAACTGGTACGCTAATAGCGTATTTACTAAAAACATCGACATTAGAAAGATATCTACGCGGAGCGCCATCAGCGCTAACGTTTAATTAAGCTAGATTTGACATATCAACTAAATCTTCCGCCCAAATGTGATCCACGGCATTTGCGACAACTTTACGTCGCAGAAACATTTTTGGGTCTGTGTAGCTCTACTGCCAGATCATCATATAAGTCTCTACCGAGGCCAAGCTTATATTTTGCTCCAATAAAATCCTTTGCCGCTATCTTAAAAACCAAATTTTGTATAATCTGCTCGCCCTTTGGTGATAAAAGATTTTTCGTTGTTGCTGTAATTGCACGTCGGGTTTTTCTTGTTGGTGCGATTTCTGAAATAACTTGCTTGATTGACAGTGTCGCATGCGCTTTAGGCTCGCTTTTTATTTTATCAGATCTTTTTTGTCCCACAGTTCCGATAGCAGATGCAGCTCCAGTTGTAAAAGCTTTACCTGCGTCAAGTGCAATTGGCACAACTTTACGAGCTATTTCTGGAATATTTTCAACAATTTTAGAAATATATTCCGACAAATCTTCCTACTATTTTTCTTCTGTAAACTGTTTTCTTTCATTGTATTTGAGGTTGTATAATTTGTATAATTTTGTTGTAAAGTCTTTCAAAAAATACATGTTTATGTTGTTCACGCAAGTGCAGGTAGTGCATAACAACTTTATTATTTAAGTCCAACTGTCGTCCAGATTGATATTTCAGTTGCCTATTTACTTCTGTTATTTGATTGTCAATTGTAATAAATAATATGACGCGGACTAATTTGCATGAGAGAATGTGGTGTAACTTCTGCTGGAAAACTGTATATGATTTGCTCTTTGCTGAGCAATTTACCAAAATTGTGATTGCATCACTTATATTTACTGGAAGTTGACGGTCAAACGTTCTGGGACTACCATCTAAAGACTGAAATATGACAGAGTCAAATTCAGTCAGTGTTGTAATACTTCTTGCTACGAGACGAACTTTCAGATTACCTTTCATTGTTGTTCTAGCCCGCAACGTATTATAATTTGGTGCCAGCTCAAAATCGTCTGCAGCACCCTTATTTTTGTTATAAGTTCTTTTATTGTTTTTCTTCTTCAGATCAGTTATGTTGTAGGCTCCTTGTTGAATTTTAATTGCTATCCATCTTAAATATAGTGGAGAACGTGGATCACCATCAACAATTGCCAATTCATCATTTATTTCAGATTTTACGTTTACCATGGCATTCCAGCAAGTTCAGGAAATTAATCCATTTTCGTATTGTTTTGCAAGATCTAGTTCTATTGGTGGAATATACTTAGCTGAAAAGTTCGCGCTATCTTTGTCAGACTGGCTGGAGTCGAGTAATAATGTTGCTGACATTTATTATTATACTTTTAAACTAATCGCGATGTAAATTGTCGTATTTGTCAAATGCTAATAAATTTCTCGATCTCAAATTATCACGTGTTTCATTAATTTCATTGTCAATTTCAGCACAAACTTTTCCAGCTTCTTTTGATGATATGAATGACATTAATCTATTTATCATATCAAGATCTCATGTAAATATTCTGACTCAAGTTTCAGTTTTTTTTTCACCCTTATGTTTTTCTAAAAGTTTTCTAACAAATGTAAAATATTTCCTTTTAAAATTCCACCCCCTACCAAAAGTTTTTGTTTTACTAGCTTCTGCTGTTCTTCCAAATACGAAAGCCATAACACCAAATCTCATTCTATCATAAAGTGGAAGCATATGTGTCCCTTCTGTGACTGTTCAGCTCATTTTTATCAGCAGCTCCATCTCTTGTTATTGCATTTAATTTATTGATTACTGTGTCATATTCTGCATCGATCCACTTATTTATATTATCATTATATTCCATATTTTCTTTCTCTAAACATTCATTATATTTTTCATCTTTTATCGTATCATTTGCTCTTTTTATATATCATTGTCTTTGCTCTCAAAAGTCCAGTAAGATCGCTCACTTTTGTTGCTCATCATTAATATTTTTAATTCTTCTGATAAATTGTTTATATTTTTAAATTTTTGTGCTCTTAACTCTGCTAATCTTCGCTCAAGATCCAGTGGATTATTTATCAACCGATCTAATACAGACGTCTCATAGCAGGATCAGCTATATTTGTTACAAGTACCTCAGCTAATCTTTTTCCCGCATCAGATCTTTCAATACCTCTTCCAGCAGCAGCCTCTTGTTTTGTTCTTTAACTAATCCAACCTTTTACTTGTTTTTTTTTTAAATTCAACTTTTGATAGTTGTTTAGTTTCAGGTTGATTTCCAAATAAAGCCTCAGTAACTGGTTTGAGAACTGTAGCTGCTGTTTCTGCTTCAGCAACTTGACCACGTCATGCTTGCTGTACTGCTGTACTAGCTGCTTAAATCTTGCCTGGGATTGCGCAAGTTGTTTTAGATTTTCTATGTTTTCTGTACTTTGTTTTTCCATTAATTATATACTATTTTCTAAAAAAATTATTGTAGATAGTTTTCAATACAACATCGATACATTTTATTCCTTTCATTCGTTATCTTATCAAACAAAAAGAAATCATATATATTTGCGGTTGCTTGACGGTATAGTTCAATCAATCTATTTTTTGTTATGTCGCCGCATTGTTCGTTCGCGATATTTCTAACGTCACTATTGTCAAGTCCAGGAAATAATATAAAACAGCCAGTATTTCGCCTAATAAATCTGTCGACATTTTAATATCATTGAGCGAGATCAATATAATTACATTTCTTATTTCGCGACAGTGAAAAATACGATCTTATTTTATTCATTTCCTCGTTGTGTAGCAGAATATCATCAAAAACAACTATTTTGTGTTCGGACGAATCAAGTTAGCTGGATCAAGTTCCTCTGGTTGTTTGATAATGAAAAATCTTCGCCAGATTCAAGATCGTCACGACGTATGTCAAACTCGTACTAACCTTGCTGCGGATTAATTGTGTAAATATAAACTTGGTCGTAATTAAAATTATCTCCAAGAAGTAGATTCATAAGCACATTTGTCTTTCCCGACCAAGTTCTACCAACGATAAGATAATGACAATCTGGATGCTCATTGTTATGTTTATGTTTCACTAACCGCTCTCTAACAAAGTTTGATATTGACGATTTTGCCATTATTGTTATACAATTTTATGGTATATAATTTTGCCAAGTAGTAAATAAATAATGAGTTTTTACTCAAATTTTGGAACAACAGTAGGAGATTCATCAACTGCTCAGCAAGCTGACTTATATAAGTACGTAACTCTTGATCAGCTCAAAAATGAAATTGCTAATTTGTTAAATATCACGAGCGTTGATCAAAATGAAGTTGTTATTTTTCAAGATAAAAAAGGACGATTAAAAGCGAGTAATATACAACTATCACATATACTTGTACGAATTCCCGCCTTGTTTGTTAATAATGTCGTTACCTTTGCTGATCAGGGTCAAATACAAGATTCGAGTATGTCGATTACTGATTACGTTAAAAAAAAAGCTGGCGATGTATTCATCGGTATTATTATTATGTCTGGGAACAAATTACAAATTTCAGAAACCCTGTTGAAAATCAGACGCGTCAACAAAGAAATATGTTGATAATATCAATGTTCCAATAGCTGCTTAAATTAATTCATTTAATATTGGCTACAGCATTCACGTTCGAACATTTACAAAGTTTTGCAGAAACGTAAACAAAACTATAGACGAATTCTTTGAAGATCCTACAAATGTTGATATTGAACTCGTTGCCATTAGCTCAAGACTCAACGATATCATTAGTGGAATTTCTAATATCGTTCAAAAAACTAATCTTATTAAAATTCCTCACAAGCAGATCATTAATGTGGTATATACGGTAGCATAAGGAAATATTTATGGACACCGCAAAATAACACTTATATACACACCGCAGAAGTCACTGGTGCATATAGATTATCTGTGTTTAGCGGTGCAAAATTAAATATATTTACATTTTCATGATGCTATTCGACCGATAATTTTTCTGGAACTGTATTTATAGTATTAAACAAAGCTGCTAAAAAGTTTATGCTGTGTTTTACTGGTGGTGTATAAAATTCGTGGCTGAAACTCCCGAATTAGTTTTACTTAAATAAGGATATTAAATATGTAAACAAATATTATATAATGAAAAAAATATATTAGATTTTAATCATATTTCAGAAAGCATTCCAAAACAGGATGTTGACGCTCTAATGCAATATTAGATACTATCATAAACATATTTGGTGCGTCAAAAAGTGTTACTAATACTATACCAAAATACTGCGAGTGATATCATATCTATCACTGCTAGTGACACAAGAAGACCTCAACGATTTTAGTGCCCTCAGACTGGTTGGTATTCCTGCATGCTCCAAGCATACTGGACTATCATTAGGTCAGGCCACCATGCTGGAAAATGCTATAAAGATTTTGCCTGAAGAAGACAGCAGTGAGAAAAAGGAAGGTACAATTATTAATATGTCAAACTGGTTTCTTCTCAGGTAGGAATTTTATAAATATCAAATTACATTAAATGATAAAAATAAATCAATGAAATGTTTAATTTTTTTCAAATCTTGTATTCGGTATGCATTATGTTTGCTCTAAGAATGAGCTAAACCACGCTTGTTTTAAAATAATACTATCAGCGTAGGCTGGGACGGAAGAGGCATTTTTATTCACATATTTGCATATAATTATTTCCTTTTCGCAGTAATGTGTTACAATAGTTACAACATACATGTAATCCATTAAATACTATAGTTTGAGATAGCGCTTTCCTTCCTTATGTCACATACTGCCTGTAACAAATATCACATGTGTGATGGCGTTCTTACCCAGCCGCACTTGCATTGTGCGTTTGTAACGTTGAGTAATTCCTTCAGCTTCTTTTATTGGATATGATTTGTGATGTTTTTTGTATATCTCGCTGTTTAATAAATAGATTTATTGGGATACCGCTCCGTTGGCCGAGTGGTTAGAGCGTCCGCTTAGAATGCGGGAGGTCACAGGTTCGATCCCCGGCTGAGTCATACCAAAGACTTTTTTTAAAAAATGATACTATCAGCTGTCTCCTTTGGCATTCAGAATTAAGAGGTTAGTGTTAGGACTGTTTGGCCTGGTGTCAGAATAATATGACTGGTTGGGACATCATGCTCAGAAACGGATTTAGGCATAAGCTAAACAAGATACAGCTGAGGGCCCCAAAGTCTGAACTCAGTCTGAAGGGCCCCCTCAAATTTATTTTATACCAAATATGGCCTCTATACCTTCCCATAGTTTAAGGCTACGCTTTGTCTAAATCTGGGATTCATGCTACATGCCTGCGGCATGATGCTCCAGTTCTAGACCTTACTGTAAACTGTCACACTGCAGACATTGTAGCGATATGACTGAAAATTTGTTAAAGCTAGGTTTAAAAAATCCAAATCACACACACACACATACACACACATGCAGATTTGTTGGGATTTCTTTTAATTTGTTATTTAAGCTTGATGAACATGCAGAACAACTTTCACTTACCCCTTCCCTCTTTCTGCAGTTTCATAATTGGTGTTATTAAGTTGCAGATGTTTGCCTTTGCTTTCGTTTGCTCATGCTCTATAACTTGAACATGCATAATTTTGTCTTTTTCAGTTTCATGCCAAATTAGAAGTCGACACAATAATGTCGTTTAATATCGCTTTTCTTCATCCCGTGGGTCATTTTATAACAATTTCTGTGGGGCGATGAGGAGTGGGGGTAAGTCATTTCGTGAAAGTTTCACACTTTCATAAAAAAGCATTATTTTTAAGCGCGCGTTTATTACGGATAATTCTTGTAATACAGTTCGTAATACTAGGGTCTTTTCTATGCTACTTTGCTTTTTTTTCATATAAATTTAATTTCATGGAATTAGTACTTTCTTCATGGAATGACTATTTTGGGTATCAGAAGAAATACCCAATACACTGCTGAAAAGAACTCTTCTCGTGTAAGTATTGGCTAGGGTAAGTATTTTTAAATTCAGCGCTTATTTTTGTTTAAATATTTAGAAATATTCATATTGGAAATGTATACACATGTGCCTAAAATTAACATTTTTGTTATATCATATGTTCATTTAGGGCCGAGTTGTCTAAGCGCTGAAATGTCACCTCTGTCCGTGTGGGTTCGAGTCTCGGGATCAGCCAACTTTGGTATTTGAGAAAGCTTGCCAGTAGCTTCCCGTGGGTAGTTGGCACTTCCCGGGTTCTACCTCCTACAAATAAACTAGTCGTCATGTATCATAGCCTTACTATTTAATGTTTTATACGAGTATTCACTAAGACTATAAACCAACAAACAAATAATGTATTTAAAAATTGATGCATCAAGTTAAATTAAATGATAGCTTGACTTTTCTTCGCACATAAATCACCAAAATAGTTACGCAGTTTTCGCATTAAAATATCCATAAATTGAACTTGGAGATACAGTTATAAATAGCAAATATTCACACATTATTATATAAATGCAACTCATTTTGATTACAGTGGCGGGAGTAGAATGTAATGATCTAATTCCTCATATTAGTCACATAAAGTTTGGACACGATCAAGACCTGCTTTAAGTTCACTCAATGTTTTATGGACTCGACCAAATCACGTTTGAAGTCCACTTAAGATGTATCGTGGACCTGGTCATTTCCTGTTTGATGTTCACTCACTATGTTCCTATTTTAAAGTCCACTCGAGATATGACGTGGGCGTAATCAATTCACGTTGACCGCTCGAGATATGTCGTGGGCATAATCAGTTCTTGTTTGAAGGTCACTCGAGATGTTTTCAACTCAAAACTCAATGTGCCTTACATCGTTTAAATAGAGTCAAGAACCGGTATCTAATAACAGCAGTGTAACAGTTCCTACAGAGGTCATAACACTAATATGGACCTGTATTGAAGGTCATATTTTTACAGAAAGACCCAATGTTGCGAGCATAAGGTGAATGCTCGATGTTGCAAGCACAGGCACAACTATACCGTACTTTGTCAGGTACGTTTTCTTTATCGTATTTCTTCGTCTGCTAAATATATCTCTCAAAAATCCGGTGCATCTGAAAAATATTTCTTTTATCGGAACGGAACGAAGAACACAAGGTATTCGTGCTTTCAAACACACTCCTTCCCCGTAAATTTAATATTTCTTTCTTTTCGATATAAATGGCTATATTAGACGACACAATGTATTTGGTGACTTTATCTATTCAAATCATACCATATTAGGTAAAATGAGGATATATTCAACTCCTGTGTGAGGAGAATAGATGATATATCGAAAAGAAAGAGTTTGAAGGAATACATTTTTCTTATTTTCAGTTTATAAAAACAACTGAAGGTATTGTGAAAACATGTTTTTGTTCACTTTACATAGATATGTAGTAGATATGAATTCATAATGACGTGATCACCGGACAACTATAGACAAAGCAATTCTAATATTTTTTAAGCCCCTTTAAACATTCTTATTTTGAAATTCAAAATAGGTTCCATAATGGTACAATTGAAGATTTATATTTTGTTGTTTTTTTTGGATTGACCTTTTTGTTCACTCCGATATGTCTGAATTCTCTAATATTTCCGATGTAAATCTGATAAATTTGATAGCACATATCATGGCATACAGTGATATTTGCAATGGAAATCAGTGCCGGGGAGGAAGCAAGTCACCTACTTGGACCAGGAAAATCTAATTTCCCAAGAATAGAGGTGAAATTTGTGCATTATCTTCCTATGTGAATTGTTCATCCCTTTCATTTCTCTTTTTGATTCATATTCAATAAGAACAAAATTATAATCCAATTTTATTCCTGCTGAAAAAAATTAAAAATGTTATGTTGCCGTCTGAGAAAATATGACACAATAAGGTACTGAAAGTGTCATCAAGACCAGTAGATACATATACCTATACTAGCGTATGTATCTTAATTTTAAATAAATTTAAAGAATGTCAAAAGTTTGGATTTATTTATGTAATAATTTCTTGTTGGATGGTTTGGTTATGGAGATTTAATGTCATTTTCAGTTTGGTCAGCTTAAAGCCATTTTTAGCACATATATATATATGCTATAAGTGACAACCAATATATTTGGTGGAGAAAAAGCCTGGGGAAGAACCAGTAATTTCACAAACCTACACTGGCAGAGCCACAGAATCAAACCCACACAGACAGGTGATTTGTCAGTGTTGGTAATTGCGAGAACCTTAAACCATTCAACCATCTAGGGTCCCTTCTTTTAAAAAATTATAAGAAAACAAGGCATAATCAAATCTGTCACGGTATACATGATTATACCTAAAATATCTTCAAACTTAGAAAACATCAAGACAAACATTCTAAAGACAACAGGGGAGGGTAGCTTTCTTAGTTAGGAAGACTTAAATTAATTATATTCATACAATATTTATTATGATAAATACATAATAGAAAATCACATCAAAAGCATTGATATTATGAAAATACACTCAAGCAATATTGTCAAAAGGATACCCAAAGTCACACCACAATTTATATAAGAACACTTTGATTAGTCAAACCTGTTTCACGATCTAAGTAAAATAAAAACTATTTACATAAAATATTTTGTAGATTGTGTACATTATTTGTTGTGGTACACCATAATTCACCTGGCACAAGTGTATTTAAGTAAAGAAGGGCCAACTTGTTGCTTTAAAATTAGTATCAATCAACATATATGGATCATGCGGAGTAGCAAGTGCACTAAAACAATCTGAACAAATAGGACTTTGGCAATTGTTCTTTCAAGGTATGATACGTGTACCCAGAATACCATCTGGACTTGTCCGTTCAATGTTTTATGAGTGTATCCGCTATAATTTCTGAATTTGTCCTCTCAAGGTCTGATAAATGTACCCAGTATACCTTCTGTACTTGTCCTTTCAATGTTTTATGAGTGTATTCGCTATCATTTCTGGACTTGCTCTTTCAATGTTTTATGAGTGTACTCAATTTACCATCTGGACTTGTCCGTTCAATGTTTTATGAGTGTATCCGCTATAATTTCTGAATTTGTCTTCTCAAGGTCTGATAAATGTACCCAGTATACCTTCTGTACTTGTCCTTTCAATGTTTTATGAGTGTATTTGCTATCATTTCTGAACTTGTTCTTTCAATGTTTTATGAGTGTACTCAATATACAATCTGGATTTGTCCTTTCAATGTTTCATGAGTGTATTCGCTACCATTTCCGAACTTGTTCTTTCAATGTTTTATGAGTATATTCGCTACCATTTCTGGACTTGTCCTTTCAATATTTTATGAGTGTATTCGCTATCATTTATGGATTTGTCCATTCAAAGTCTTTTGAGTGTACTCGCTATCATTTCTGGACTTGTCCTTTCAAAGTCTTATGAGTGTATTCGCTATCATTTCTGGACTTGTCCTTTCAAAGTCTTATGAGTGTATTCGCTATCATTTCTGGACTTGTCCTTTCCAAGTCTTATGAGTGTATTCGCTATCGTTTCTGGACTTGTCCTTTCAAAGTCTTATGAGTGTATTCGCTATCGTTTCTGGACTTGTCCTTTCAAAATCTTATGAGTGTATTCGCTATCATTTATGGACTTGTCCTTTCTAAGTCTTATGAGTGTAATCGCTATCATTTCTGGACTTGTCCTTTCCAAGTCTTATGAGTGTATTCGCTATCATTTCTGGACTTTTTTCAAAGTCTTATGAGTGTATTCACTATCGTTTCTGGACTTGTCCGTTCAAAGTCTTATGAGTGTATTCGCTATCATTTCTGGACTTGTCCTTTCAAAGTCTTATGAATGTACTCAATATACCATTTAGACTTGTCCTTTTAAAGTCTTTTGAATGTACTCAATATACCATACTGGACTTGTCCTTTCAAAGTCTTATGAGCGCACTCAATTTGAATTTAATGGCCATTTTGTGATGAAAGTTATTTTTTTTAATACAAATGTTAGTTTTTGTTTACATCGATATTGATTACATTTTGATGATATAATCCTTAATCATCAAGTTACAAGTTT